TCCTTGGATTTTCTCCCTTTGACCTGCTTTTTAAGTCAGTTGTTTTTGTATTATGTTTATTCCCTACATTTTCTTATGTTTTTTTCCCCCCTCAATTTTTTGATTTTGTTTTGACATTTCTTATTGCCTTGTGGATTTGTTTTCTGCTTTAATCCATTCTAGTTTTCAAGGAGCTCAATTTATGGGTTAATCTTACCACCACCAGTTCTATGGTATTCATTCTTTTTGTCATGCTTGCCTCTCTAGTGTTATTTCCTTTAACATCTTTCCTTTAATAATTCCTTCAATAGTCCCTCCTTTTTTTTTTTTAATTTCTTCCAGGTAGTTTTAAAAACTCGTGGTTTTTTCTTCTCTGATGCTCTCCTTAGACTCATGGAGTTACTCTCCTCAGACTCATGGAGTTACTCTCCTCTTCTTCTGCATTCACTTCTTGGGTCCATTTACTACTCAGTCCATAGTATTTCTTCATTGTGTTCATTGTTTTCTTCTGGTCACTTCCGTCTCTAGTCTCAGTTCTGCATTTGAATTTTGTGCATGAATTAGGTCTCTGCTCCCTTCTAAACTCTTGGAATGGTGTGGGTAGGCCCTATTTGGTCTTGGACATGGTACTTAAGACCATAGCCCACCTTCTTCAGGAATTCCTGGGTTTTGGCTCAGTCCGCTGGTAGCTCAGATTACGTTTTGGCCTTGGTTCCTTCTCTATCTCCTTCTCCTTACACAGTTCTGAACCTGGAGTTGGCTCTATCCCTTCCTGTGAACCTGACAAGCCCCAACTAGAAGTGGGTGATTTTGTTGAATAGACTTGTTGGCATGTTGTCTCCTCCATTAGACTCGGAGATTCTCCAGAGCAGGGACTGTACTTTGCCTGTCTTTGTATCCCCAGCACGAAACATAGTAGTTGGCACATGGTTGACACTTAATACATGTTTACTGCCCTACTGACTGCTGGTGACAGGTCTCCTATAAGATTCCAGGTCCTTTGCCTTCCAGGGCCACCCTGTCACTTTTTCCATGCTTTGGTTTACACATAGGCCACCAGGGTCCTCTGTTGCCTGGGGCTAGGTACTGGGCTCTGTGGTCCTGAGCCTGGGTACCTGTCCAGGTACCTCTCTCCTGCTGTACCTTCTTTGGGACTGCTGGGGTTCAGGGCAACCTAGGTATCACATGTACCTGGCCAAGGTGCTACCTAAGGGCTTGTGGACCCTGCTCTTGTCCTGGCTTCCAATCAGATAAATTGCTTGAGGGATGTCTGGTCTGTGATCTGGCATTGCCTCCTTCTCTTGTTCTGGGTCTATATTGCTTGGGGGCTTTGCCTTCCAATTACCCTGAGCTTCCACAGAACCCTGGCAGTCTTTCTGTGTTGTCCACTTTGGTGCACTCCAACTCTAAGGAGGAGTGTATACTGATTTCTCTTTGGTTTTCTTTACTATTTTTCTTTCTGGGGAATTTTTATTGAAGTGCTTGTGGGGAATATGGGCTTCTCTAGGTCCTACAGTGCCTCTGTCTTCCCAAAATTCCCTTCTCCAAATACTTTGCTAAATTAGAAATTAGGGGGATTGGGGGGTTGGTAACATGTCTGCCCCCCAAACTATCTCACAGGTCACTGGGATTCAGTATTTTTAAAGTCATGAAACTTTAGCCTGGTATAGAAGTTAAAAGCAGGATTTTTTTTTTAACTTCACTATCTGTGTCATAAAGTGTAGTGTTTTTTCTTCCAATTCTCTGATCTTGGCCTGCTGCCTTTATTTATATTTTCATAAGACTTCAATGTTTTCTGGTTGTATGCCAAAAATAGATTTAAGTTTGGAAATTAAATGTAAAACTGAACTTTCAGAACAAGTCTATTTAGTTTGATGGATTACTCAAGTTAGTGAAATTTATTTGAAGCTTATCTCTTTAAAATTACTCTTCTCTACCATGTTACTATTAAGGTTCCTTAAAATATATTTTATTTCTATTAATCTTTTCCATGAGTCTCTTTTCAGAAATGACTTTTAGTATTCTTTAACACAAAACATATTTAACCACTGACTTCCTTTAAAAATAAAGAAAATTATTTTAAAAGCACATAATAACATATATTCTTGCTACATAATGTTGGTATTGATAAAACAAGAATTACTACTTCATTGCAATTTGAGTTGATTATTAATTAAAACAGATAAAGGTAATTAATCCCAAAGGTAATTAAACTTATGGAAAATCATATTTTGCAACTCTCCTTGCACATACAGAAAATGTCTGATAATGAATCACTTTCCTTTTTCTTATCAACAGAAGGTAACACTTTGAATCATAATAATTTGATACAATTTTCTTTAAAAAATGATAGCTTAAAGTCTATCCAATTGAATGGAAGGCTTATAATGACACCAGGTAGTTGTGCCAGTCTTTTCAAACAGGATGAGAGTGAAAGAGTTCTTTGAAGCTACTTTTACTTTACTTAAAGTGGAAACCCCCTTTCGTTATCAGCTGTGTTTACTGAGAGTCTATCTAATTGCTCTCATTTTTGCCAAAGTTTTTTTTTCTCCCTTAAAACACAAGAACCATCACGTCTTCCAGGCCAGATGTAATCTAACTTCTAAGATAGGTTACATAAGGATATCTGAACTTTCCAGTAAAAATTATTATTCTTGTTCCATTTTATATTTCAGCTATGACACTGTCAAAATGTTTTTCATTCAATCTTCATAAACTTAAAAAAAAAAGAAAACCAAGTTCTGAAAAGAAGAAAATAAGTAAGAACTGACTAGACTCCTAATTTGAAAGATTCTTATCATTAATACTGTATAAAAATAGAAAAAAAAGTTGATGTTCATGTTTTTCTAATCTTATTTAACATCTGAAAGCATAAAAGCTCCTTTGGTTAATCATCTCATAATAACAAAGAACAAATTGTCAAAGAAAAATGCTTGATTCAAATATTTTGGCTGTAACACATCAAAGGTCTCGATTAACAGAATGTTTCACTGACAATCTGACCAATAGTTTGAATGGTGAGATAAAAAATGCAAATAGTGAACTTGTGATGTATAATCTAAGATGTCAGATATTTGGAGCCACAAGTTTCAAAACCTTCACTTTTCTCCCGATTTTCCACGAGCTGCACTACTTTTGGATGTCTTTCAACTTTTCAATCATGTCCCTATGCCCAGTTTTTATCACCCCTCTTTTCTGCTTCCTTTTGTGTGTTTTCTTCCTTCCTACGAGACTGTAAGCTCCTTAGAGGAAGACACTTTTTATTTGTATTCGCATCCATCAATCATGTAAACCACTTTTTTTCTCTCTCCTTCCCCTGACAAATGGCTACAAAAATAGAGTAGGTCACTTCAAGGGTTAAATTTGCATTACTTCACAGAAGCAGACACATTTTCATCTAATGGTTCCTTCAATTTTTTTTGTCAATCATTCAATAAGCATTTATTTTAATGCCTACTATATGCCTGATTTAACCTAAATCGAAGCAAAACTTTAGAACCTGTTACTATAACATGTGAATACAAAATGGAATACAAAGCAAATAATATACAATCTTTATTATTTTTTGGGTCAAATGAAAAATGCAAATAGAGAACCTGTGGTATGTAATCTATTAGATATTTGGAGCCAGGAGCTCTAAAACCTTCATGTAAGGAGGGACCCCAGAATAGTCTTCTCCCTATTTTCTACCAGCTGGACTGCTTTTGGACATCTTTGGATTTTTCTCTGTTGAGTATTGTGCGCCTATGTCGAGTTTCCCCCTTCCCTCTTTTCAGCTTCCTTTTATGGAGGATGTGGAATGGTATAAGGTGTAGGAAGACTAGAAAGGTAGAGGAAGGTTAATTATGAAGGGCCAGCCACAAAAAAACAGGACTTTCTATTTGATTTCTGAGTTGATAGGGAATCACTGGAATATATTGAAGGGGTGAATGACATGGTTTGACTTGAGCTTTGGAGAAATCACTGTAGCAAGTATTGTGAAGATGACCTGGAATAGGGAGAGCCTTGTAGCCAGCAGACCAAATAGCAGGCTATTGTAATAGTTCAGGTTTGAGGTGATGAGGGCCTGTACCAGTGTAATGGCAGTGTCAGAGGAGAGAAGAGCGTCTAATCAAGAGATGCTATAAAGGTAAAATCAGCAAGTCTTGGGAACATATTTGATGTGGGGGGGGTAAAAGAGAGTAGCAACCCCAACATATATGTGATATCTTCTAGTACATTTGACATATTTATTGGTATTTGGCATTGCAACTAATTTCTGACTTCCTGGAAAGTATCCTATTGTAAAATATAATTTTTATTAATAAATCACTGAGTTGTTCATTGTTGGTCTACCTCAAAACCATAAGACCAACTTGCCTCACTATTATAGTGGACAACTTAGAAATACTAACAGTGTTTTGGATATAAAAGAGCAAAAATGATAAGCATATTAAAAGCTGTAAATACCATTACTATTATCATGATTCTCTGTTTTAAATGGTAAAGAAAAATTTAACTGGTAGGTACTTACAATGATGGTCACAAAAACCACGCATAATCCCTTCCCTTTAGGAGGTTACAATATGAACCCATTATGTTGTCATGCAAACATATTTGGTCCTACATATTTAATACATGTAAATGTTACCCCAAATGCTACTATGATGCTTCAATTGAAATGGAATCCCTGGATTCTTGAAGGCTACATAAGCAAAGCATAAACTTTGACATATTCTATTAAATTAAAAAAGCTTTGGAATACAGTTAGAAATTCTGTCTGATGACCAGACCATATAGAGAAAGGTTCATCACCAGAAATGGAGGCACTAAGTACTAAGTTTTCTGACCACAGTAAAATATGAAAAATGACACTACTCGCAATCCTGTGTAGTCCCCTTCTATTCTAAAATAACAGTTTTGGAGAGTCCCAAAATGAAGCAGTTTCAAATACAATCTTCTTTTTTAAATGTTATTTTTATATGTAAATGTTTATGCTTGTTGATGTTTTTCAAGTTCATAATACTTTTTTTTTTTAAAAGGGCATTTGGCAAAGAAAAAAACACCACCAACAACAAAGAGAAAAGCAAACAGACCACTGTGAAGAAAATTGCAGCTTATGTGGCAGCGTCTATTGCTGAGAATGAAGAAGTGAAATTCTATGAAGAAATTGCCAAGATATTGCAAAACAAATCAACATTCACCTGGATATAAAGTGACTTCAATAGAATGGTGCACACAGGAAACGCTGGCAGGAACCATATTGAAAAATATGGTTCAGGACAAAGAGACAATGAGGCCAAAGGCATGTGGACCACTCAGAAGTCTTATGGTTGTACAGGTTAGATTTGTTCCTTATTAAAAATTAGAAGTCTCTCTGTATATGACAAACATTTAAGGGCTTTATAAAATAAAGCGAAACTGACTATATTTTTCAATTAACAAGCATTTGTTTTTCTCTCCCTTACACTTCTACCCACAATAGGAAAAAGAAAAGAAAAAGAAAATCCTTGTAACAAATATACATAGTTAAGCAAAAACAAATTCACCACTGGCCATACCCAAAAAAGGTATGTCTCATTCTGCATCTTAAGTCCATCACCTCTCTCTTAGGACATGGGTTAGGTTTCATTATCAGTGCTCTGGAACAATGGTGGGTTACAAAATTGATCAGAGTGAAACTGAGTCACCCCTCACAGAAAGAACAAGTTTTCAGTGAAGAAATAAATCATTTCTTATTAAGGTGTCTACGAACAGTCAGATTATCTACTGGTGAGAGCTATACTCCAAATCAGTACCAAAGCTGAAGGATAAAATGAGAAGTCACTGTAGGTAACTACAATAGCTCCAACAAAGTTTATTTAGAGAAGCCACCAACTCATAACGATGGGAAGTGGACAAAGTAAAGTGGCTCAGTCAATGATTTTGAAGTTTAAAATATGTGTGTGTGTGTGTGTGTGTGTGTGTGTGTGTGTGTGTGTGTGT